CTTCCCTCTATCTGGGCCTGTGGTACTTGCCCGTCGTGCCACCCTATCAGTACACCACTGAATATTATATTATTTTATTTATAATATTTGTTCACTCATAAAATACGCTAAGAACAGTAAAAGCCCCTATTGCTGTTTCTTAAAAATATTTGAATTGTATTTTAAATACAATGAGTTCCGCTAAATGTAATCAATGGTTCATAGAATCAACCATTTATTGGAATCAAAAATTAAAATTTCAAACCAAATCTTACCTTACTATAATCTATAATGTTAAATTTACTTTTTATTAGAATCAATGGGAAAGTATCGTAAGGATAACATTTGACAATTGTTTAATAATTATGTTGTAATAAATTTTATTGTATTTAATTTACAGTATTATTTGTAATTTATTATTTATTTTATTTACATTTTTTTTTATACAATTCTTGTTTATGTGATACTTTCTTTTAGAATTATTTGTCTTTGAAGTCATATCAAAGTAGTTAATACAAATCAATTAATTTCTTTATTTTTAACTTTATTTTGAATTTGAAATATTTTTAACATTTTGTTATTTTAATTACTAAAATAATAAACTTAAGCTTTAAAGTAAACATGGATTATGCTTATTAACATCTGTTACATTAAATGTAACTCAATATAATTAATTTTATTATGAATATTTAATAAATAATGTGTTTACAAAAAAAAAATTTAAGTATACATTCATTGTATAAGTAGTTACTCTTTAATATTTAAAAACTAACGGAGAAATGTATAAAAATATATTTCTGCTGTTTTTGATAGCAAAAAAAGAGAGGTGAAAATCATATTTTTTTTTTAATATGTAGAGGCGGTAAATTGGCTTAATGTTGTGGCACTGAACTGTAGTTAAAATTAGATACATTGTACATAATACATTAATTATATAACTTATTTGCCACACTTATACACTAGATAAGGTTGTAATTTGTGTTGCATACGACTAGATAAGGTTGTAATTTGTGTTGCATACGACTAGATAAAAGGGCATTATGCAATCTTGTCTCTACAAAAATTGTAGTTTTTTTTTATTTTTACATTCCACCAAAATTGAGGGAACCGAAAAAGTTTATAAACTTGGAACATTTTAGATATAATTTTGTCTCCAAGATTTTTTAAAAGCTATAGCCTAAACTAATAAGTTACAGTAATGAAGGTTTATACAATGGTTTTTTTTTCTATTTTGTAAATATTCTTGACAAATTCAAGTTAGAGATATCGGAACAATTGCAGTTTAGCTACCATGCAATTTTTTCAAATTTTTTTTTGAAAACTAGGTAAATTGACRTTTTAAAAATGATGGTGCCAAATAAAAATTGTGCAAACACTTAGTTTTTGAGTTATAACGATTTGAAATTCGAAAATTCCTAAATTTTAATGTTATCCGCCTAGTTATCACGTAACTGGGAATATCTGTTACACAAATATATTTWTATATATTTTTAGCACCATCATTTTTAAACGTTGATTCACCTAGTTATAGCTAATCAAAGTTATGTCGTTGTATGAACAGTGATCACACGTTTTACAACACTCGGCGCCATCGCACCGCTCCGCAAATTGAAAATATCCCTCGACTTGCTATGCAACACCACCTCGAGTAGGTCACAGGGTAATACCAATTAGTTATTACAGACTCGATGGCCAGTTAAAGTAACATAAGTATTTATATTACTAATGTCAGTATAGTATAAACTCGAAGACTTCTGCGCGGCAATGCAGTAAGTAAAGCGTTGCGCTCATGCATTTAAAACTAAAATTGCAAACTTTGGAAGGCTGTAACTTCCAAAATAACAGTTTGGGCAAATTTATTTTTGCATCATTGTTCTTAACTCATTGAAATACATGTTTCGAAAATAAAATTTGAAAAAATYGCGTCGTAGCTAACCTGCAATTATACCCAAAATTGATGTACTTTTATTATAATATTATGATTAATAAATTGTTAAATATTTTTTTTATAGGTTATGTGTTCCATATAACACTGTAAATACGATTCTTACCTGGATTCTAGTAATTGATGATCATCATAGTTAATTTTATCATTAAATTCCTGTTTAATAACTGTATTAAATTCTTCATCAAACCTAAAAGAAGTTTAATTATTTAATATACTGTTTAAATTAGATCCAATGTACACCATCAATTATAAATATTTATAATTAATGATAACACATAAGTTATAAGCGCAACTACAGTTTATGAAAATACATTATTTTTTTTTTAAATTTATTTTTGTAATGTTACACTGTTAGAGTATTTGCTCACTTGTAATTCATCGTAAAATCATTAATTGTTTTACTTGACGTTTCCATGCTGTATTTTTATATCTTCCCGAATGTTTTTCGATTACTGTGAACATGAACCATTGAAATTATATACCTTTAATGTGAAATTGGTCATTTGATGGGGAAGGATTGTAGACTGTATATTTACTATTTAGTAAGACATCATGGTTGGTATGCAACAATTTTGGCACTAACAATTAAAAACCTGAAATTAAGCACTTGTTAACAATATAACARCCAACATGGACAATTGGACAATACAGTGTCCGGCAGAGGATTATGAAAATTGAAAATTGAAAATAAGTAAACACTAAACACCCACAATTCACAAATCACAATATTGAATATAAAAAACTTGAACAACGGTGTCGTTAACGGTCGCACGGTGACACGGCTCGAATGGTGATACCTCAGTTCTCCCGGAGTGATAAGAGTTATTATGCGGCGGTTACCCTGTGGTTACCATGTGACCAACTTGAGGTGGTTTTGAACAGCAAGTCGAGGGATATTTTCGATCAGCGGAGCGTAGCGACGAGTGCCGCTAGCATAGCATCACTGACGTAACTTATTTCGTATTGGTGTCACTGCTAGATACCTGGTGTCCCCCCAAGGTTTATAGATAATATCTATTATCTATAAACCTTGATGGGCACTAACCAGGTCTTGTGATAACTGCCTTATCAAAATTGATAAGTGTAAAAATATTTACATCCCGGTATGAGAACGAGAGATAGAACAACAGACAACAGCAGCCCTGAATGATCTGATGTAACTCTAACTCTATCGAGTTCTCTAGTTCATCGAGTTCTTCAGTGTTCACGTTCTCACCATATGCAAGCTTAGCTTCAAACTTTCACAGACAGGTAAATTAAAGAAACTTTTAGATTTGTGAGAGTATATTTCATTGTTGTATGATTTATTTAAATTTAAATAAAATAATACCTTTTTGCTAGATGATCTGTTTGGTGCTACTACATTCTTGTCGTTAGCAGGCTGGATATTTTATAGAAAAAKCTAACATGTCACTTAAGGAAGTGTTTAAGCCTAAAAGCTTGAAGATTTCGACCACGTTTATTGATGCTGATGGGAAAGAAAAACAGGTACATTTATGTGAATAGAATTTATGCTATTGAATAAAATAAACATGATCCGGATGATATATCTACATTTTTTAAATTGTCGGTTATATTTTCAGATTGAAACTAGAGAAGATGAAGAACAGTTACAGAAACTGCAAGAAATTATTGATATGTTAATTGCAGCCGGATATTTCCGTGCTAGAATTATAGGCTTATCTCCATTTGACAAGGTTTGACTAATAATTTTTTTCTTACTATACCAATTACTTATTTAGTGTGTTTAATAAATACATGTTCATACAGATTGTTGGAGGTCTTACATGGTGCATAGATAATTGTAATTTTGACTTGGATGTTGATCTGCATTTCGATGAATCTTTAGTCATTGGTCAAAAGATGTAAGTTTTTACCTAATTTTAATTCAGATTTGTGTACGATGTATTGAAAAATGTAAACTATTGTTATTAGAGCACTCACAGAAAAAATTGTCTCTGTTCTACCTAAAATGAAATGTCCATACCAGATTGAGCCGCATCAAATTCAGGGCCTTGATTGTATCCATGTCTTTCCTGTTGTTCAAGTAATTGTTTTTGATTATTGAATGACATGTTTATTACTCTACGAATCATTATTCATACATTGACTGCCATGTCAATGCTAATTGATATGTATTATCGGTTAGCCAAGAATATTTTTCAATGTCATTCCAAATTTATATTTACTATATTATTTGAAAAATCATTAAAAATATAAAAAATAAATTTATTACATCAAACAAATTTGAATGATTCTTGCTCACTGCCCATTTGTTTTAGTACATATTATTGTAGCACCATGAAAAAGWTAATAATGTGAAACCATAATATTATTTATRGTTTGAGGGCGGTTATATAGGGTGGTAGTAACTACAAAGTTTCATGTTGTTAAAAAAAACAATGTTTTTATTTAAAAAATGTGTTTTTTAATATTTTTTATCCTTATAATTTTTTTAATTTTTTACCTTTTTGAATGATAACCTAGAGTTTTAATTTCATATTCCAAAGCAGAATATTTTTCTAAGTATTTTGATTCATAAAAATCTAATGTAGGGCGAGTAGTTTATGAGTTATAACTTTATAAGTATTTAATGTTTTGATTGGCAGAGTGGAGTGGTGGGTTACCCCGCAAAATGTTTATCCACTACACCAGTGTTTCTCAACCTTTTTACTGTGGCGACCCCTTTTTTAAATTTAAATTTTTTAGCGACCCCTACATATATATTTTTACATACTCGCTTAGATTATCATTATAAATAATCTAGAGTCTATAGTTACTACAAGTACTGTACACGAGAAATATAAAACAACGGTGCACGGCACGGCGATGTTAACGATGAACTGTGACATAAATATATAATAATATAATATGTGCAGTGTGCACTGCGGCCGCGGCAGTGGCCTTATCTTAGGTTGATACTTGATAATCTATATTCAACGTTTATTATAGATTCTTTAATAGACGTCATAGAGTAATATCGCTTTAAAAATGATAATAGTGTGTTTTCCATTTTAATATAAATAATCTATACTCGTAATAGGTATGTAATATAATAATATTTTATTGATTTTATTTTTTTATTATTTGAGCTTTTAATTTTCGCATTGATTTAAATCATTCGATTGCGACCCTAAATAATAAGTTGGCGACCCCCTAAGGGGTCGCGACCCCCAGGTTGAGAAACACTGCACTACACCACTTCTCTAAACTTTAAATACTTATAACTCATAAACTACTCGTTGAAAATATTTAGAAAAATATTCTGCTTTGGAATATGAAATTAAAACCCTAGGTTTTCATTCAAAAAAGTAAAAAACTTAAAAAATTATAAGGATAAAAAATATTTAAAAATATAATTTTTTAATAAAAACATTGTTTTTTTAACAACATGAAACTTTCTAAAAAAATATTTTCAAAAACATTGATACTTTTTGAAATAATGAGTGGTTCATGATAAAAGAATCACCCTGTATATAGTTTATTTAAATTATATTCCAAATTGTTTAATATATTTTAAAATTAATTTTCAGTGGTTAGTGAAACGTTCCATAGAAAAGAGAAAAGAAAGAGGTGAATTTTTGATGCTCTATGCTGCTAATCAATTTGATAAGTTAATATGTTTTAAAACTCCTTCGGAAAGTGAACCTAAACGTAAGGAAAGATGTCTCTATCTTAAAGTAAGTAGTTTAATGTTAATACATTGTGATTTAATTGATGAACTACTTGAATGGCTCACTTTATTTATGTCATTTAGTTTTTTTTTTCATTGCAATCACAAAGAATGGTGAATATTAGAATTATCTATTTCAACCCTAAGCCAATTTCTATTTTTTGAATGTTAAGAGGTTATAATTATTACATGTTTTATACTTTTATGTTAACTATCATTTCTCATTTGTCCAATTCCCAAGTGGCATATCCTCTCTTTATTCACCTCTAATTCTATTCTAAATTTTATTTTTTTAAATACACTTCCTTTATTTATTTTTAAAATAAAACCTAAAAAAAATCTTATGAAATTCAAATTGTAAATTTACTATCATAAAATAATAAAATGTTAGATAAAACCACTTAGCACTAAACTCTWACTCTTAACTGACTTCTTCCTGAACTAAGCAATAATCAAACTAAAAAGTATGTTAATATGTACACATTTTTCAGAAATGTTTGGCTGGTAATAGGACAAATAAATCGTTTCACAAGGAAGAACAGAGGATAATGGAATGTATTGATAATATATCTGAACCTGAAGACATGGAAAGTTATGAATGGTTTATTAAAAAGCCTTTTGATGCCAATGACTTTATTGAGGTAATTTATGCTTGCATATAGACCAGAGGTATTCAAACTTTTTCAGCACGTGGCTCCTTTGTGTGTTAACAATATTTTTACGGCTCCCAAATTATTATGAAAAAATTGAAAYAACAATGGATACAATATCGGAAATATGTTATATGGGTGATAATAACAGTGACTTTAGTACTAGAAATAAAACTTCAAATGGTCGGTTAGTAAGGTGTGTCATTTTCATTTCCATAATGATCGCAAATAATATTTATAATAATTATAAAAGACCTATGATGTTGGTTTTCTGTGATTTGACACGGCTCCCTTTGCAAACTTTCGCGACGCCCCTGGGAGCCGCAACGCACAGTTTGAATACCTCTGATATAGACATACATTTTTGTGTTAATAATTATCATTATTGTATTATTGCTATTTAGACTGCGATGACAGATGAAGAGAAAATTGCCAAGTTGGAAGAAGAAAATCAAAAACTAGCTGAAGAATTAGCACAAGCTCAAGAAGAAACAATTCAAATTGAGAGTAAAATAGAAAAAATAACTCTGCAGAATAACAGCATGGATGATGATAGAAGACGGTAAGGTGTTATAGCAACAAATTATGTGGTAGATAAAATATAAAAAAGATAATTATTGTTTAAACACAATCTTGGCACTGAATTTATTCAATATTTGTTGTCATACATTTTTTTTTCACAGAGAACACGAAAAAATTAAAATTCTTCTGATTGAGTATGAAAGAGTTAAAGAAACTGAAGAAAAATTCCAAAAAGAGTGTGAAAAAAAAATGGAAGAGTACCAGCAAAAAATAAAGTACAGTCAATTTATGTATACAAAATACATCTAGAGGACAGTACCCATGCATTTGTTATCTCTACCTTACATCCATATGACATAACAAATAATTGTTCACTTGTTTATCAAATTTTTATACATAAATACTATCTGTGTTTAAGCATCGGCTTTTATTCAGTATTTTAACTATATAGATATTAGCATTTTAATTCATATTTCACGTGTCCATTTAAAAGTTGAAATTTAAAATATCCAAAAAATCACAGATGCTTAAGCACAAAAAATGAACATACCTTTTAGTTTGATAATAATTAATAGGTCATTTCTCATATCACAACTAACAGCACACTGTTGATACTAGTGAATGAAAATTTGTCTTGTAGTTTATTTGTAAAACGGAGATAACAAACACATGGGTAGCGTCCTCTTAATGGACATCATTATATAAGACAAAGATTTGTAATAATTGTTTGACATATTAATGCGCTTGAATTGAACCTAGAATTATTTTTACTACTATTTTTTTATTTTTTTTTTGGAAACAAGATTCATTACATGATAAATAGTTAGGTACTTACACCGTGTCACTTGGCTCATTTGTTTTCATAGAAATCGGTTAATATACTTGATTGTTTTGAAACTATAATAATTTTATATAACCATATAGTGAAGCTAGAGCATTGCTCGAAGAGCCAGTAGAAGATGATTCTGAACTTAAAGAAGAATTAGACAATATAAGAAACATGGTGGAAGCAGCTAGAACAAAACTGAGTAAAAAGGCAAGAGCTGTGGGACTTATGAAACGGAAACTAGATCAAATACCCGACAGAGCTGAATTAGCCCAATACCAAAGACGATTTGTTGAACTGTCTAATGAAGGTATGTTCTTGGATGTTCTGTTTGGACCTTGTTAATCTTTTAATCGCCTTATTCATACGTTTCATGTTTATTTAGTATCAGCCAGGTATAGAGAGACAAAACGACATTACGCTCTCTACAATACCCTCAGTGACGTCCAAATGTACTTGAACAAAGAATTATCACTGTTGAGTTCAATTCTGGGCGCTTATCCTGAGTATATAGTCATTTGATCGTGTTACAGGCTACTTTTTCTTGCCTAAATTTTAATAAACCTTTTGTATTTTAGAGCGGAAAAGTCACCAGAGTCAAAAGAACAGTTTTTGAGGCAGTTGGAAAACATAGATGTCAGCGTAAAACAAACTTTGGACAGGGTAAGTCTTGGAAAATCATTTTTTTTTATACCGGATTTGGTTACGGCGACTACATGATTCTGTTTGTACTTTGTAGGTGGAAAGTAAAAGAAATAAAGAGCAAAGCATTAAGACTAATTTAAACAACCAGTTGGCCACTTGTATGTCAGTGCACCGTCAATATTTAGCTGCTGTAAAGGAGCTTGAGACTGAAGTACAAAAGAATCTCCAACTTCAAGAACAGATTGATCAACTTAAAAATGTTTGAGTCAATCGATAGGCAATCACCATACCTGTTCAATTAGTACATTGTATTCAAATCATTATTTATTGTTTTATTATATATATATATATATATATATATATTTATTATTTAAATAATCAAAATGTTTAAAATAGTTAATAAATATTATTTTATGAATATTAAATTTTCTTAAATAACAAAAACTAAAAATGTGTAATAAAAAGAGAGAGAGTATCAACACTCATTGCAAATTCATTGGTGCATGTATTATCCTGCGGTTACTGATTTCATTCGACATAGGAAATAATAAGTAATTAATATAATTATAAATTATGAATAGTTATTGTTACCCTTGGAATGTAAAAAGAGGTTGCTATAACATAATTCTATTATTATCATTGATCATTGGTAGCTAGGGACAACTTAATCCTAATCTCATCTTTGTTATTGTTTAATTCTCATGGCAACTATAACATAAGACCGGTCAGAAAAATACAAAAATATTGTACTCTCCCATACTCAACACGATAACATAGTGGTAATGCTTTCGATGTACCACAAATTTATTGAATGACACCGGCTATAAGGCATATACATTATACATGTCAAAAATCTATTGTATTGAAGTGTACCTATCTGAACAGCTGTGGAGAAATCTGAATGATTTTGAGGGTTGTTTTTTGACACAGGTCATGACTATAGTGAATTAGTATCGATTGATTTTTGATTTTTGATGTGCAGAAATTTAATTTGTAGTTAGGTTGAAAAGGTCAAGTCTAATTGTGCTACATGATGCATCTAAAATACATCTAATTCATTACCAACAAATCGTTACACTGTGTCACTTGGCTCTTTTGTTTTCTTAGAAATCGGTTACCTACCTAATATGTTTGATAGATTTGAAACTAAAACTATTTCATTTAACTGTATAGGGAAGTTTTGCTCGAACAACCAGTAGAAGACTGAAAGTGAACTCAAAGAATAATTGGACAATATTAGAGACATGGTTGAAGCAGCTAAAATGATGAAAAAATTACTGTGCTTGTAAGTAAAGAAAACAAAGAGCAAAATATTAAAATACTAATTTTTAGACAGCCAATTGTTTACTTTTACGTCAGCGCACCAGAAATATTTAWAGCTTGTACTGAAGTTAATTCGGTTGTTCATACCTGTTGAGTTAACATGTGAGTTCAAATTATTATTAATTTTTTTATTTATATATATATTTTAATTATTAAAACAATAAAAATGTTTAAAATTGTTAATAAATATTAAATACTAATGTATAACAAAATTTCTTAAATTAACAAAAAAAAAAAGTGTAATAACAAATCTATTTTATTTATTAAGTGTAGGTACCAATATCTAAACGGCTATGGAATAATCTGAATGCTTTTGTGGGTTGTTGTTGGACACAGGTCTCGACCATAGTGTCGACTTGCCCAGGTTGAGTTTTTTCAAAGTGTCCGAGTTGCTGCTGTCAGTCTCTGCTCGGCGTGCACTGGTCGTGGGAAACAATGATGTGTTGGCCATCGATGAAGACCTTTTAGATCTGTTGGTCGGAAACCATCTGCAAAAGTTTATTTGAAAAAAACCCCAACAATAGATTGAGCTTTTTTTTTACCTAGTCTGTGTTCGTCTCGGCAGTGATTTTTGTTCAGTTGGTGGCGGAGATAAGTCTGATGAAGTACTGGACTGTGCTCGGCTGTATATGAAACCTGAAAACGAATCACAACATTACGTCAATTGAACAAATGGCTGAAAAATTGTTGACAAACACGAAACATCAGAAATAATTTATCGATTAAAGCAATATTGTAACGTGTTTGTCTGTTTAGCGATATATCACTGTGGACACTCGCTTGTAAGTTTTGTTTTGTTCAGATGATTGGACGATTCAATCCTACTTGACGTCATATTTTGATCGACATCAGAATCCGAATCATCATCCATATTGTGTGCGGAATGCTTTTCGTACAAATCTTGAGCCGATCTGTCGTGTCTGTTTTTGAACATCTGAAATTTTAAAAACTCAATAATATAATGGCACACACTGTATAAAACTGCCTGAAAATAACTATAAAGAGAGCAAGCAATTCATTCGTTTGAATCCTTTTAAATGTTTTATACCAAAATATTTATACAATTTATATATTATATTTTATTAAAATTTAACATTCATTAAGAGGACATCATATTATACGCATAATATGTGCGTTTTTATTTTTGTTTATTTGATAGCTTTAACCATTCATTTTTTTAAACTAAACTAATTTTCTAAAATTGATTACCTACTTAAATTGTATTTATGTTATCAAAAAATAACGACGTTATTAAGTTATTAATATTAAAGATATTAAGTTGTTACTTATCTGTTGTGAGATTTTGATAATTTACTGCAAATTCAGAGGGAGAAAAGTTGTCCTGACTAAAACAGTTTATTAATTTATACCATACAAATTAGTGTCCATGGTATGCAACTCAAATAATAGATAGTACAAATTGTCCGTTTATCTTTGTAGGTAGTTAAACATAATAAGGTGTCTTTACAGGTAAACATTTCAGGAGCAAGGTTACGTCAAACAGTTCAAAGATGTAATAAATTATAAATTATTTATATCTTGCCCTCGTTTTTTTTGGCGCATACTAGTTGCCTCCCAAAATGAAAATTATTTTAATATAACTAATGGGAGGCAACTAGCACTAGATTCTTTTCATTTATGATAACATTTAGGGTACGAGTTACCTAACGAGTTACCTTCGAGTTAGGATACGATTTAGGAGGCAACTCATATATAGTCGGGAGGCAATTCGTATAAAAATGATGGGTCTTTTTGACATCGGGAGGCAACTAGTGTGTGCCCGTTTTTTTTGTTGGATTTAATAAATATATCTGACTACAATGAAAACTAATAACCTCGATGGAATTTAATTTCGGCTTTCTGTGTTTTTTACCAATATAATATACTGTTCCAACTATCTGAAATATCTTAGTAATATTATTTGATTAAACTTACTATAGGTACTCAATATTCTACAAACGCATTTTAGATAAGATGTGTACCTACTTGAAAACTACATTTTCACAATTTAAACTATTATTAAACATTTGAAAAATTTGATTTTAAAATATCTATTGAATGTAAAGAATTTTAAATTATTGATACTTTTACACAAGTGACAAAAATAAATAAATAAATAAAATTCTTTACATAATGTTTGTAAGACACAAATACCGTCTTACACACATACTGCAACAGAACAAATTTCCGTTCACTATAGTTTCAATGATGTGCTGTTAGTGTTKATATTGCATATTTGAATTAATTAACCTATTATGAAACTTTTAGGTARGAAAATTATTGGTGTTCTCTCTTAGATTTTTTACGAGATTTCAATTTTAAAGTGAAGTATGAATATTTTCAAAAATTAAAAAAAATAAACAACAAAAAAGTATATAGGTACAGATAATGTAGTMCTTACCTAAAAGTCTGATAATAGGTCAAAATTTACTTTCAAAGGTCAAAACTAACAGCACACTATATTGAAGCTGGAGAACGAAAAWTTGGTATGCCGTACGTGCGTAATAACGTAATAAGACGGAAACAACACATACCTATGGGTGCGACGTTTTTTAATAAATTATTAAAAATACAGTATTTATTTTCAATAAAACTCAATAAGACTCAATAATGAAGTGCATTAAATGTATTTTTCAAAGTTTTTGTGCATTACATTCACTACCTATGTATATCTCACATGTGGCCCGAGCGGACGAATGAGTTACGTACCTTTGGTGGRTGCGAGGGTGGCGCATAATTTTCGTGGACGGATTGCTGGCGGAGTGTGAGGTTGTGCAGCATTGGCATAGATCCGCGTTGTGTCTGGTCCACCGGAAACGTGGCGTACGGCGATATGTCGGCCGACGTCTCTGTTATCATTATCACATTGTAATATTATTAAAATATTCGTACAAAAACGGATTACAAAAATATAATAAGCAGCCGGCACACCACTGTATTGTAATTTATATGCTGRCGAATTGAAATTGAACYATTATAATATACTATTATGTCATGGTTCCAAAATCTATGCAATCGTTTATTGACATGAGATAAATAACCTAACATAACCCGAGATCGAACTTAGTCAAAACCCGAACCCTATTACAGCCAACGGAATGATCGCACATCACCTCGAATAAAATTTAGTTGTACCAATTATCATTTAATTGCAAATGGAATATTTGACAGATAAAGGTGCATAATATGATTTTACTTTTGGGTATAAGAATATGAGTGTAATATGTGAGAATTTTAATGAATAAATATTCGAAAATATTAGGTACCACGTKCATAGTTATCGAGTGTACAAAGTTATAACATGAAAATTTTAAGTTATAAATTAAATTTTGTATGATATACGATCATAAATTCGTCGAAGTGACTCAGTACCTACTCAGTGGTCAGTGGAAACACAACTATAGTGCCATCGACTTGAAAAATATGTAAAAACATGCTCTGTAACGTACATATTATGGTAAATTATTATAATAGTAGTGCAGTTTCTATAATAACTGATCAAAGTTTCCCTATTGTAAGTACGAACAATTTCCACATTACTTACCCGGAATTTTTTCTGAATTGGTCAGTCCCACTTTGTGGATAGTCGCGTAATATTTCTGATTTTCCGCACTCCTCCTGTCCCGCGTGTCTGTGGCGTTCTGCGCAGGGACGCTATCCCGTTCTGAAACACGAATTTTCGTGTGTCAAGTGTAAACGTAAAATATATAACAGAATTTATGGCACAAGATAATATAGGGACTGCCATGACACGATTGATATATTTTGTCATGGCCCCTGCAGACTGGCCCGCGTCCCTCGAATATCTACTGGAGGTATACCGATACCACATACCTTATTCTCAAAGGAGATGTCCTCCTAGTATTACCTATTGATATTATACATAGATTTGGTATTGTATATCTACACGGTTTTGAGTTAAAAAAATAATCTAATGCCATAACAATAATAACTATTAATACTTTAATTTCTGTTATTTTTCTTCATAACACAATATAATAATATAAATATATAATAWACGATGATCCACAAAGTAATATTCTAGTGATTCACTTATTGATTGACAAAGTAAATTAATTATTTTTAGATTTGGTTAATATTTTTAACCATTATTGCTTAGGTTAGGTTTCATTTTGTTTTATTGTTAAGTTGAATTGTATTTRGAGATTATTTAAAATATAATATTTGAAAAATATTTGAGTGGGTATTACTCAAATTAATACTATAAAGTATAACTATCTTATGGTATTTTTTAATACTTTATTTTAAAAGTATTTGAATAATTATCTAAATACTTTTTTTATAGTATTTTGTATAAAACTGCTATTAACTATCTAAGGGGTGGTCGTATTATTTCAATAATGAAAAGCAAGGCTCGAATTTTATAACGTTAAAAATAACGTTAAAAATAACTGAAATATGTGCTATAATACGCTATAAAAACATGAAAAATAATAAAATAATATGCTAATATAATTTTATAATATAAAATAATAAAAATTTATTCTGTTCACAAATTAAAAAAAATATATGAACGACAGTATATAAYATTACACAAAAAGACAAAATATAATAAATACGAGCTGGGAATCATAATTGTTTATTATTCAATAGACCAATTCACTGGAATACTTTAAAATATATTTTAATATGAATAAAAATTTTGGTATTTAAATTTTTTCTATGGATTCAAACAAAATAATATAATTAAAATAAACGAAAATTTATTTTTATTTTTCAGATCACTTAATATAAACTAGATTCACGGATATACAAAATAAAACATTATTTTATGCAAATTACCTGCAATAACCTAACCTCAATTAATATGCAAATAATAGCGTAATAAAATTTCACATTTTTTGGAGTTCATGATGCATAAAACAAATTAATAGCTCACTCAGATTTTTTTATTTATACYCTATGACAATATTAGCAAGTAYTATAAAATCCGAGCCCTGATAATAAGTATCATGAAGTGACATCGAACATGACGAAAAAATACAATCAAAAGTGTTAACCATACTTCTTTTCAAACAGACAAACACTGTGCAAACGACCGCTAGAACAGCGACGAACGTGCCCAATACTGGAATAGCCATTTTCATGTCCATGTAGTAAAACGGGCGAGATATTTGACTCTTCTCGACCAGCTCCGGCGGAGGCTCTTCTGCAAAACGGACGAACGAAAATGGTCGATTGGTTAGTAMATTTAWTACCGACAAACAGTTTGCCGATAGATCGGACGAGGGGCTCACCTCCGTTTTCAGTCAGCGTGAAAAAGTAATAGTCCGCCAACGTCGACCCGGCGGCGTTGTGGCCCTCGACTTGCAATTGGTACTCTGTAGCAGGCATCAACCCGGTTATCGTGAATTTCCTCTGGTTTCTTAGGTTGTCGGCGGCTGAAACGGTCGTTAAACGAATATAATATTATTGTAATAATTATTAATTACAATCCCACGAATAATAATTGTCAAGTGTAATTTATTTCATTGCAAGCCTTTGCCAAAAAAACATAAGTTTGTATACGACGACAATTAAATGGATACAATAATAATATAGTAATAATTTTGATAAAATATAATAAAGAACAATTTGAAGAAATTCGAGATGTGGTCTTGATTTATTCTAAAATCAACAGTCGGTGAAGCGAAGACTGAAATTAATAAATGTTTGAGATGATAAACTAATTAATAAGTGGAGTCAAATTAAGAGATTTTCGATTCAGTCTGCAAGTGTAGAACATAGATCAATAAGTAGGTTTAAAGGTTTAATAAATAGGCGGCAAAGCGCACATATAGGAATCGACGATGAACTCTCTATCGGTTGATAATAAATCCTCAGTRGCGTACGAGAGATCTCAAATATAGAACATATTATCACAACATTTCAGTGGTTAGAAAATAATAAATATACACTCACTCGTGGTCCAGTGCGGTTGTAACATCGGTCGGTGTCTGACRACAAACCTGTCGATCGAGCAGTCGTTGTCTGGCCAGGCTTCTAAGTTCAACCGCAGGTATGTGGAGTTGGGCTTCAGGAACAGCGATTTTTTCGGCACTCCGGGTCTGCCACCTTTCGTCTTGGCCGTTACCATGGCGCTGGGCGTGGAGCTGCCCACCTTGTTRTTGGCCACGATGTGCGCTTGATAGGTCTGGCCGCACGCCAAGTCCTGCGAACCAAAATTCATAATTTTTACCGCGATTGTACAGTTATACCGAACGTTTCTTAAAATCTCAACACCTCGAAATTATCAAAGGAATTTCAAGAAGATTTGAGAATCGATCGCCGGGAAGAACACACTCACGTTCAAATAGTACGACGTCGTGTGTCTAGGGATCGACACTTGTCGATACGGTCCTCTGGGGTGCATGTGATATGTCATGGTGTAGCCAGTGATTGGTGCATCGCCGTTGGATGACAGCCGCCAGTGGAACACGAGAGTGGAACTTGTTGCACGAGCGGTGTACAAGATTGGTGGTTCCGGGGGCACTGCAGCGAAACAATATTATATAAGTAAACTACACATATAGGGCTGGAACAGTGTTTCAAATTATTTTATATTGATGCTTATAAATTATAAGTTATAATATACTATCTTGTATTTTTTTTACTACCGGTTTATGGATGGGTATTATTATAGTCAGATGATATTGCGGTATATTCGTATATTTGGTAACTATATACATATACTGGCATAGCGATTATGCATCATAAGATATTATTATTGATGGTTAAAAATAAATAAATAAAGTTACCCTACTATATAATTTTTTGATTGATATGATTATGGAGATTTTTTTATTAAAATTAAATATTTGATAAAATTAATAAATTGTTCAAACAATTGAATATGAATTGATTATCTCGATTTATAATCATAAACAAATTATTTTATAAGCTGTTTAAAATTGAGACTTTAAAATCACATCTATTTGATATTAAGTTTGTAGTAATATATAATATTTATTCAATAATACGAAAAACTGTCTGTGGTCCTTAACATTGCAAACTGCAGTTGGTTTGAACTTTGGTAGACACGTAATAATATAATAATATATATATATATATTTTTTTTTTTTATATGATTTGCAACTTTTGCCGAAAAAATGTCACACCAAACTCACCCTGAACGATTATTTGATAGATTATCTCATCGGCTCCATGAATGTTTTCCACATGACACGTGTAGTTGTCACTGTTCGATCGCTGGAGGGACGTGATCGTCATGTCACCGTTTTCTGTCACTTGCAAGTTACCGTCCCAAGACTGAATGGCCCTATAGCTTTTTAGCCACTGCCTCTTGACGGCGGGCTGGCCAACGGCTGTGCAAGGCAGTTTTATGAACGTCCTCCAGGGTCTCTCAATCAGACCACCGAACGAAACGATTTTCGCGGGAACTACTCGGGTAATAACACAAATTTTGAAATTCAATAATGCATATAAAATTATAAAAAAATATATTCAAATTTGTATATAATATTATATTATATATAAAGATGATGAGTTTATATGATTAAACCCACTAATCTCTGAAAACTACCTACTGATTTATTCCTTGAGATTGGGAGGGTGTATTAGTTTATTTATTTGAACCTCTATAATTTTGTCTCAAATTTTAATATGCACGATATTTCACTTACTTTTGGTCGTCGATAATATCTGTGTTGCTATTTTTGAGCTCTGACCTTCGCCTATTTTCGTGGACGCTGTCACCCAATATTGGTATTCCAAGTGTGGCTGTAATCCTTTGGTCTCATACGTTAGATGATGACTTGGCAACGTTCTCTTCATGTGGTTTAACTCCTCTTCGCCTTTCATAACTCTACAAATATCACGAATGCATGTATTATTATTATTTTTTATAATTGTATGGGTATTTATATTTTATAAAAATTATGTAGTATTGTGAAGAATACGTTTTAAATTTAAATTTAAGTTTGAATTATATTATATTATTGGTACTATATTTGTATTATACTTAACAACTATATAATATGTATAATGTATATATGATTCTTGATTTACAAATAAATAAACTATTATTATCAAATATATTATTTTTAATTATTTGAATTTGAAGTAGTGTCACTAGGCACCCTCTTCTATCACGTCACCACGCCTTGTAAAAAATATAATAAACCATAAGAATTACCTATTGTATATAATAATAACAGATTGTATATTTTAACTTTTCTAAATAAAAAAATAAAAAAATAATTTGAAGTAGGATGATTTCTTTGAAATATTGATACGATATTTGTAATATATAATGTGTAAGTAATCAGGCATCACTACCAGTATCTACCTACCTACAGTAGAATAGATAATTTAATGGAATTCAATTAATTTTGTCGTTTTAATATCAACAGAATTGTTCTCTGTTTAATTACAATTTGAAATCGCAGTTATTGTGTATAAAAGTGTTATTATTATTTTTTTTTTATTAGGGTTAAGGCTTCGACAACTGAGGTCATTAGCCTGGGGAACTGTAAGGGAAGGTACTGTAGGTTTTTAACACGTGGGTTTTTTTTTGGTAGAATTTTGAATGGGCACCCGTAGGTTTCTGCCATGCCCGGTTTGGGGGCGGCGGCCTCTCTCTCCAGACATCGCGAAATGCCCAAAGAGCGATGCCGCCCGTGACMGASRTTCGAACYGGCGACTGCGTGCRTSGCAACARACGCCTTAGTCCGCTCGGCCACTCCACCCCCAAAAGTGTTATTATTTACACAGTTAATGAAATAAAAATAAAATTTGTACCATCCGAACATAAATATGTATTTATTCAACCAAAAATGAATTTGTATTCAAAGCACAATTTGAATTATTTTACTTAAATACTCAACATGTCACACATACATAATTATATTCAGTAGGTATATATTATTATTTTCGTTGTATTCAATTGATTTTACCTGGTGTATAAATTGTATCGCAAGAGAATGCCGTTTGAATACTTTGGAGGGGACCAGGAAACTGTCAACGATTGTGCAGAAGCTACGGCGATTTTTATATCTTCTGGCGGTCCGGGAGCTAGAATGGTACAATATAGTAAAACGTCGTATTATTTTATTGTTTTTGAGTGATTTTAGAAATTTTGCCATTTTCACATAGATCAATAATATTACTGCCGATCATTAAGTCATAACAGTAGGTGATAACCATATTATCTAGGTACATAAATATTAAATATAATATATTATTATAATCATACCGTCTTGATCGGTGCAACACGTGATCGGCTTGGAGTTTTCACCGGTTCCGATCCGAGTGTACGCGGCGACCTTAAGTGTGTAATTAGTGTATTTGTGAAGTCCAGTTAGGACGATGGTTAGCGACGGTGTTCTCCGGTTGCCAATTTCGATGTCATCGTCTGCAACATGATCGCATTATTATACATCAATACGCTATTATTAAAGTAATCATCGCAAGTCATTGATTAATTGATTACTGCAAAACGCTCATTGGCGGTCTACCTCTATCTATGGAGTCATAAGTCACCACATATCCTTGGATCACTCCGTTCCAATGTTGCATTTCTGGGTGTTTCCAAGACATTTGTAACGTCTGTGAGCCCAGCGACGAACAATGCACGTCAAGTGGATAACTGGATGGCACTAAAATTGGATAATATATATATATAT